ATTACGATAACTACTTGATATATTGCTAGTAATTACTATTAAATTATATATGGTATAATAGTAAAGTGTTAGGAATTATGATTTGGTAGAAGAGTTTGTGGAAGATTTTTGGGGGGGGGCATCACGACTACCCATTTTTTGAGGGCGGATTATTGAACTGAGGGCCGCCCGCATATTTCGAGGGCTTTTCGAGGGCTTTTCGAGGGCGGCCCTCAACTAGCGCTCAAATTCTGACCAATAGGGGAAGGTAGTAGTAGAAAAAGTGGGTCATAGTATGATAGATCATACTATGATTACTATGATCACTATGATTACTTCTCTTAGAATAATCATAACGCGACTAGTCAACTTCGCGTGCTTGAAACTGTGGTTTATGTATGTCTGTCCTTATTGCTGCTTAGTCCTTCTTTTATTCTTCCTCTTAATATTACTCTTATTGATAATATCCAATATGTCTCAATTCTCAGATATCTACTCTTCATCTATTTACGACGGCGATCCAGTAGCTAACGACCCTTTTCACCCTTTATTAAACGAGCCACTCCCTACCCCTGAGGATACTACGTCAAACTCTGGTTTTCTCACGCCGGTCCTACCACCTCTGATTCCTCCCTCACTCCAGCGTGTTGGTCCTGGTCGTTCAACAGCGTTTGTCCTATTTGACAAGATGTCAAAAGATGACTTTGTGGCATGGTGGCTAGAGACAGACTTTGGAAAGACCAAGAAGATACATTGGGGTAGTAATCGGACAGCTAAATGCTGGGAACACTTTGATGAAGTTGCGGACGTAAGATCTGGGAAACCAGGGGCAAAATGTCGGAAATGCCATAAAGTCCTAGATCACCCTGGGCATAGTCGATATGGAACAACTGCCCTTAATCGGCATATGGCTGGACCAACTTGCAAAAATTCCACTACCCAAAAGGGTAATATCAAGGGACTTCTAGCTACCGCGGTATGTTATTTTAACTATTCTATGAATAATGTCTGACTTTTACTACCTTATTAGATACAGAATACTCCAACCAAAGCAACTACCTTTACACAAGAAGCATGGGAGCAGAAGCTTTTACAGCTTCTTACCCTCTCCCGTCTCCCCTTCCAGTTTATCGAGCACCCACAATTTCGTGAAATTATTTCATTCGCCCGGCTCGCCCCAATACAGCCACAGATTCCATCTGCAGTCGTGATACGTTCGCGACTACGGCAATCCGTTCAGGAACAACAGAAGTCTATTCTTCAGAAGCTCCCTCCAAACGCAAAGCTTTCGATTGCCCTCGATTGCTGGACCTCTCCATTTCGACAGGCTTTCATGGCTATCACTGGCTATTTTCTTGATCAAGGTTGGCAGTACCAAGAAGTCCTTCTTGGCTTTGAACCGCTATCTGGATCCCACACAGGTGTGAATCTAAGTGATATTGTTTTGAAGATCCTTCAGCAGCACAAGATTACAGATCGAGTCCTTACAGTCACTACGGATAATGCATCAAACAATAACACCATGGTCGCAAGTATCCAAGAGTCACTACAGGCGTTAGAGCTAAGCAGTAGCTCGACAACTGTGCGGATTCCTTGCATTGCCCATATTATCCAACTTAGCTTAAACGACCTTTTGGGGAAGATGAAGGCAATACCAAAGAATGATAGCACAGAGATCAATTGGTCGGATGATCGTGTTCGAATCCTTCGTGCAAGGCAGCAGAAGAGAGAAATTGTTGATACGCTTAATAAGGTATGTGGTCTAGAGATGCGTTTTTGTGCACAAAAATTTTGATTCTTTGACTTTTTCTTTGATCTTTACACCCTACTCTCTATGCTCCAAGAGATGGGTTCTTGTGCACAAAAACCCATTCCTCTATCCCCTACCCTCTATCTACCCAATACATTATCAATTCAGACATTATCTAGCAGCCTAAGAATTCAGGAGTTGATACTTTCTACAGAAATCAGCAACACTTTTACACACCCTCTCTATCTATCTAACTAACTTTTCTATCAAAACTTAGGTCCGAAACCTTGCGGTCTATATCAACGCTAGCCCACAACGACGGGAGTCTTTCTACAATCTTCAGACCGAAGAGCCAAGGCTTGTTCCAATCCAGGATGTACGGACTCGCTGGAACTCGACTTTTCTTATGCTTCGACGTGCTAAGCGGCTTCAATCGGTCTTTGATGAGTTCTGCTCTCAATATGACCAGGATCACTTTATGCTAAGTGCAGAAGAGTGGAGACAGATTGACTATCTGCTTTACATTACCCAGCCCTTCTTCAAATTCACCACCCTTCTGTCTAAGACTAAGGACGTGAGTATTCATCTGGTTTTCAGTATCTACAATAAGCTTTTTAATCATCTTGAAAAGGCAAAGAGTGCCTTAAGGAGGAAGAAGGTAGTATGGAAGCAGCTTATGCTTCTCTCCCTAGAGGCAGCAGAGAAGAAGCTTTCACATTACTACAGTATGACTGATGAGATTGATAATGACCTTTACGCCATCGGTACTATCCTCTCACCACAACAGAAGCTCGACTTCTTCAAAGATAAGGATTGGGACGATCCAGATATCGACTACTGCATAAAATACCGCAAAAGCCTTGAAGACTACTTTCAAGCCTATAAACAACACTATTCAGAGACACAATCATCATCCAGAGTCCAACTATCTGCAGATACTGGTATTTCAGAGCTTGAGATGGAGTGTGGGGCAGAAGACTCCTATCCTTCATTTACCGGTGAATATGATGAGATCAAAGAGTATCTGAATAGTGGTAAGTTATACTGTCTATGCACTATCTATACTATTTAATTATACTAAGATAGATTATACTATAGGTATTGTGCGTACCCCTGTGTGTACGTTTTGGAGAGACCATCAGCACCAGTTCCCTGCTCTTGCAAATCTTGCACGAGATATCCTTTCAATACCAGCCACAGGTGCAGGCGTTGAGCGGCTTTTTAACTCCGCTCGGGATATCTGTCACTATCGGCGTGGCTCTCTAAAGCCATCAACTATTCAGGATCTCATGATGTTCATGTGCACATCGAGATTTGAGATTGAAGATAGCCATCGAGCCTTGATCAATGAATACCTTTCATCTGAAGAGAGACAGGCTAGCCAGGAGGAGAAGGATATGTCTATCCAGCAGTTCGAGCCTATCAGTGATAATGAGGAAGATGATGATTGTGGTCATGATAGTGATGGTGATAGTGATGCATCTTCGCCAAGAACCCAAGTTCTTAGCCTAGCCCAGCCCCTTGTTGAAGTTGAACAGAGCCAGCGGACTCTAATAGAGGATGAAACTAGTGGTGAGCCTAGCTTACCTAGTACACAGCGTTATTCAGGGAGGGTTCGGCAGCGCTCAACACTTCTTAATGGATATGAAACTGAGGGTTGGAAGCGCCGGAAAACTTCGAACTAGACATATATCTAGTAGCTGCAAATACCATTCATAAATCACTTATCTCACTTATCTCATCTTTTTTATCAATCCATAAGAAAATACTACTACCCTAGTCAAAATCAGTAAGAGTAGTGTAAAGTAAATACCTAAAGATACAGCTGAAAAACTGCATAATTTATGCGAGTATGGGTCTTCAAAAGTATGTGTACTGTTTGTCCTGTTTGTCGGCCCTCGAAAAGCCCGCGGGCGGCCCTCATGAGGGCTAGTAAAAGACCAGCCCGACCCGCGGGCAGGCTGGACCTGTTGAAATATCCCGGTTGCTGGGATAATAATGAGGCTGGGATCACGTGCATACTCATATAATTTACTTCTCAGTCACTTGTATCTTAGAAAAAACACATCCGACACAACACACAATCAACTCCCCTCAATGATATGACCATTGAAGCATCACTTAATAAACCAACAGGTTATGAGCCCGGCACCGCTCACCTCAAATTGGAGACTCTACTCCCTGCTCCTAAGTTTTCCCCGTTAAGTGATAGCTTCATCTGTTGACCAAACTGGAACTACTCATTTAGTAAATCAACAAGAAGACATTTTCTCACGACCAGGAGAAAATCGATTGTGCGAAATCGTCTCAAGATTTAGATCAAAATCGTCACACCGCTACGAATATTCCTCAGGCCAATCATAGTCTACGGGTTTGCTTTATAACAGATGACGGGCGTATCACCGCTGCAGACGTGCCACACCGCTCCAGACGTATCATATCGCCACAAACAGAAGAACCGACCTAATGTCTATACCATGCTGGGGCTCCATCTTTCCCTCAAAAAACCCCTCAAAAGGTCTCGAGGAAGAAAAGCTTCATTTTTCTAACTTATGAAAAGAAAGCGTGGACCGCGTGGACGCTATAACCAATGGACTGACAAGGATCTCAATTTGGTATGCTATCTTCGATACGTCCGACATTGGCCCTTTTCAAAAATCCAAGAGACGAACTTCCCACTACTTTCCCAAGCCTCAGTCAGCGGGGCCTATAGGCATTTGCCTCCGGAAGAGCGCACACGCCGGGCGCTTGCCGCTGTACCTTCCATTGCCAAATCCCGGCATACCGTGGAACGCAGCTTTCCACGTCAAGATCAACCTGCGTTTTCCAATCTGGAACTAGAACCGAGTCACTCCAATTCCACAAATATTGAAGCCGAACCTATACTGTCGATCTCGCTTGATAATAACTCAAGACGGTACAATCTTCGACCAAACAGACCAAAAATCTTCGCAGAACGAAAGCCACGTTATATGGTGGATCGCAACCGTTTTCCTCATCTCTTTGAGTCCTATCGCGATTCTATCAAGCCGAACGAGCTACCTGACAGTGAATACATTCCTCCATCACATACACCTACTCCAAGCTCGTCGGAGCACTCTCCTTCTATCCTCTCTAGTCCACCCAGCGAGATATCGAGCTTGGAACTGTTCGGTCTCGAGGCACGGTCTCCTGCACTATCAAATCATACGTCTTCTGTTCTCTCAATTTGCTCAAGTGTTTTGTCAAGCGCTGAGTTGTTCAGCACCGAAGAGCACTGAACACCATCTCGATGGAATCAAACAAGTTTGAGCAACTAGGCCTGAGCTCATTCTATCATGCCATACCAACTCTCGATAATGCCAATGACTGGTCGCAGTGGAACCAGAAAGTCAAGGAGTTTCTTCGAATATCTCCTTTGGCCAAAGATGACGCGATTCCCCCTCTGGAAGAGGAGGAAGCGCAGCAATGGTCTCACCGCCAGACGTTTTACTCGGCAATGATCGCTGCCAAGCTGACCCACAATGCGGCTCAGCGGATAAACGCCTTCGAAATCACCCGGGTCCAATCACTGATCAAAGCGGTAAAGGAACACTTCAAGCCAGAAGGTTCAGGCACATATGTGAATCTTCAGAGACGGTACATGTCACTCACCCGAGCAAAATGTGGGAGTGCACAAGCTCTCGGAGCTGAGATCAGAAAAATTCATGCCGAGAAGCTTCTACTCGACCCCGCATGTGTCACCTCTGAGATTGAACGTACATTCTTTTTCTCCCATGCATTAGGCCCGGAATATGAGAGCTTTCGCGACTATATCTTCAGACAAATGGACATAGTCAATGACAGAGACGAGGACGGAAATATCACCAAAGCAGCTCCTACGTTTGACTACATCGAAAATAAGGCCATTGAGGAGGAGCATAGGAAGGGTCAGCTGGGCGACCAGCCCACAGATACAAATGCGCTTCCTGCCTTCACACTGAGCAATAAGCCTCGAGACAGGAAAGTCATACCGTCTCCAGATGGGAAAACATGCCGAGTCGAGATGAACAACGTTCCTTTCTGTGCCTTCTGCCGAAAACCCTATCATAGAGAGTCACACTGCTTCAAAAAGGATCCTAGCCTGAAGGATCAAGAAAAGGAGAGAATGACGCGCAGGCCAAGACCCAAAGAGGCGCACACGGGTGTTCGCAGTCTATCAAAGCGACGAGCTAGTACGGATCATGAAGACGACGATTCAGAAGGACCGAGAGACCCCAAAAGGCCGACATTTGTGGCAACAAGGGCCTCAAAACAAGATATCAATGCAGCTTTCAGCACCGAAGTTGAAGGAAATGTTGCCACGTTTGACTTCTTCCCCAGTATGATGGCCACAAAGTCTGTTTCGATCAACGACGCCTGGATTGTGGACAGCGGATGTGCTCAGCACGTTTGCAACAATGCCACGAGATTCGTCAAAATGGACAAATATGATGGTCCACCATTACGTAGTGTCGATACCTCAACGGCTCCTTCTGGCATAGGAATAGCAAATGTCCTATGCAATGTCCGTGGGAGAAAGAAATGGCTTGTCCTAAATGACGTTCTGTTCGTTCCGACTGCACATGCGAATCTCATATCCGTGTTGCAGCTTCTCAATCGGGGGGCAAAGATTGATTTCTCGAGTAAAGGCGCCTTCATTCGGAATGAATCAGATGGGAGGAATCTGTTCACTGCAAGTGAATACCATGGAGTCTATGCACTTGATTTATGGGCAAAACTTGTTTTTCCGGCCTATCATATCAGCCCGCAGTCGGCACTCTGGCACCATAGGCTTGCTCACCTAGGCGGTGCGAACATACAACGATTGAAAAAGCAAGCCCACGGCATTAAAGACGATGCGCCACGCGAACCTTGCAATCCTTGTCTTCAGGGAAGAATGATTGAAGTCCCACACCTCCGTTCAGAAGTGTGCAAAGGAGCCAAATATGCAATGGAGCTCCTGCATATCGATGTTGCAGGACCTTTCGAGGAGGGCCTCGACGGCAGCCGTTACTGGCTCACCATTGTTGATGACTTTACTGGATGGGTTGAGATTGTCCCTATACCACGACGGCAAGGACATGTCGTTGAGTCCTTACGGTATTTCCTCGACCACAATGAGCGTCCCGAACGCAAATGCAGGCGAATCCGCCTTGACCGGATTCCGGAGCAAGTGGGAGAAGATATGAAATTCACGCTCTTCTCAAGGGCAATTCGAGCCGTGGTCACGGGTGTCGACCAGCACCAGCAGAATGGGGTAGCAGAAAGAGCCCACAAGACAATTTACGATCGAGTTGGACCAACGCTCGCGCATGCAAAGTTGCCGCCTAAATTCTGGCCAGAGATTGCGCGAACGGCGGCATACCTCTCCAATCGATCACCATCGTCTAAACGCAATATGACTCCGTACCAAGCCTGGTATGGTGACAAACCTGATCTATCACGGCTGAGAGTTATAGGATCCAAGGGAGAGTATCTGATTCCCCCCAAACAAAGAAAGAAGCTGACGGAGCCAAGAACAAGGCCATGTCTACTATTGGGATACGAAGGCAATACGAACTATCGCATCCTACTAGAAGACGGCAGAATCATTGGCACGCCAAATGCAGAATTTAATGAAGTCCTTAAACCTCCCTCCACGCAGACCATACAAGACGTGGGAGCCAAACAGCAGAGCTTTCCTGTGGCAACGGCTGCTGCCGCAGGGGGGAGTGAGACGGTGGGGCAAATAAATCACCCGTCGGCCAGTATGCGACATGCATCCGTGCCAGCCTCGGGACGTCAAATATCCCTGGCACCACAAGAACAGACACAGCCTGGATCATGGGACGACATAGTGCAAGTGCATCTGCCTCAGTCGAGTAGTAATGATAACTCGCAGCCCGCCGTTGCTGGCCGAGGAGCCATAACCTTTTCGCCTCCACGAAGTGAAGATACCTTTGGACCCCTATCACCTGCTTCACAGGATTCCGTCCCTAGGATTGACTCACCACCGGGTAGCGACCAGCAACAAGGCGATGCACAGCAAGGGCGAATCCCAGATTGGCTAGATAATTCCGAGCTTCAAAAGGGTGGTGCAAAACACATAGTGCAAAAAGACTCACTGGAACGCCACCCTGAACTCAAACTTCGTGATACACACAATTTTCAAGACACATCCGGTTATGACCAAGAAGAATTCGCATTGATGAATATTCCCGACAAAAATGTCATTCCGACCTTTTTGACTGTCGCAGCGGAAGACATAGAACCCTTCGAACCAAAGTCCCTTCGACAGGCTAGGAATGATACACGCTGGCTTGAATGGGAAAAGGGAATGATCGAAGAGATACAATCACTTCAACAGAACAAGACTTGGGAACTGGTAAAGCCTCCCAAAGGTCGTCGAATCCTGAGCGGAAAGTGGATCTTCAAACTCAAACGAGGATCAAGCGGAGAAATTATCCGCTACAAGTGCAGGTGGGTAGTGCGAGGTTTCACTCAGGAAGAAGGTGTCGATTATGATCAGACCTTTGCTTCTGTGGTCAAACCGATGAGCTACAAGGCCCTCTTTGCAATTGCCGCAGCCCTGGATCTCGAGATCGAACAAATGGACGTCAAAACAGCGTTCTTATACGGCGATATCGACCATGAGATCTACGTTGAACAGCCTCATAACATCACAGACGGTACATCGAGGGTTTGCAAGCTTCACAAAGCGCTCTACGGCCTGAAGCAAGCACCTCGTATCTGGTATCAGACGCTGACCAATCTCCTTCGAAATCTTGGCTTCGAGCCTATCAACGCCGATCTCAGTATCTTTGTTCGGAGCGGCATGTATATCGCAGTATACGTCGATGACCTCTTGATCATCGGACCAAGCATTGCAGAGATCAAAAGCATCAAGCGAAGCCTCAGAAATCGTTTTCATATGACAGACCTTGGCCCGTGCAGCTACTATCTCGGCATGACCATCCGACGAGATCGGCAATAAGAATCCTCTATCTTAGCCAAGAGGCTTATGTGCGCAAAGTCCTTCAGCAATTTGAGATGCTGGATTGTGCCCCTGTCAGCACGCCTATCGACACTTCACCTCTACCAGAGAACGGTCCTGAATACATCTAGGCGATATCGCATACGCTGTCTCGGCGGCAAGCAGACACTTGACAAATCCTGGCCCACAACATGTGAAGCTCGCGCGACGAATCCTTCGATACCTCAAAGGAACCAAATCTCTCAGTCTCGCATATAAAGGTCAGCTCCAGATGCTCCGTGGCTTCACGGATGCAGATTGGGCTGGCTGTCGCCAGACACGGCGCTCGACCGCAGGGTATCTTTTCAACATTGGAAGCGGAGCAATCAGCTGGCAGTCAAAGCGCCAGAATGTCGTGGCCCTTTCAACCTGCGAGGCCGAGTTCATGGGTCAGACACAAGCAACCAAGGAAGCTATCTGGTTGAGAAGGCTTCTTCACGAGCTGAATATGGGCCAGGGACAACGCGCAACGATCATTTGCGGCGACAACCAGGGAGCTATTGCGCTGGCCGCGAACCCTCAATATCATTCGCGTACAAAGCATATGGAAATCCAGAGAAAGTGGCAAGGAGAAGTCCAAGACGCCGGGACGGTGGAACTCAAATATATCCCAACGTCAGAACAGATAGCAGATGGCTTCACGAAGCCCCTTGCGCGAGATAGATTTGAATGGTTTCGGAAAGGCCTCGGCATTGAGTAATAGCCCGGTCAGACATGAGCCTTCAAGAACCTGAATAACAAAAAGAAACGTGGACGCAGGTACCCTTTCCTTCCTTTTTACCATTGGGTTTTTGGGAGGTTTTAATGGGACTTGTCAACCGTGATGAGATATCGCCAACACCCTCCTGACGGAGGTTATTAGCGAGTGGGAGTGTTGAAATATCCCGGTTGCTGGGATAATAATGAGGCTGGGATCACGTGCATACTCATATAATTTACTTCTCAGTCACTTGTATCTTAGAAAAAACACATCCGACACAACACACAATCAACTCCCCTCAATGATATGACCATTGAAGCATCACTTAATAAACCAACAGGACCGGCCCTCCGCCCGCCCGCGGGCGGGTATGAGGTCTAGGTATCCTTAGGTCCAGAGCACTCGCCCTAGACCCTAAGTATAGCTTGACTGAGCGAACCCTACTTGTCACATCCTACTGAGTCTATCTTATAGACCCGAGTCCGTGTAAGGCCAAACGTCAACTGGCAACGGTACGGTTGCAGATTGAGATTCCTGGATCGAGCATCACCTTGGTACGCATAACCCATAACGAACGATACTCACTGTGACCAGTTAGCGTTGCGTAACACGACTAATCCGCTAATATTCCCACTAGGGCTCGCCTTCCTACTTCTTCGCGGAATTAAGGCTATTTTCTATATAATAGATAGTAATCACTTTCCGAAGGGTAGCGAGGAGATTCACTAACGCTTTATAGGCTTTATTAGAAGATTCGGGTCCCCATATAATCGCCGCGGGACTAGAGCTAACTATACTAACTAGAGTAGTAAGACCTATACTTAGTGCTACGCTACTAAGGACAGAATTATCGACCTACTTAAGGATCTTAAAGAGAACCTATAATTCGTATAATATGCTGATTAGGACCTAGAAGTAAAGTAACCCCGAATTAGCTCTAAATCAGTACTAAATTAAGGATACTCACTATATAGTAAACCGCGTTCTTACCATTATAACTATCGCAATTCTATAAAGTAACCATACCCTAAGTATACTCTATATCCACCTAGGATCCATTATCTACGATAAAGGCTATACCAGCCCGGCCAAAGTAGCCGATA